ATCTTTGGTACTCCATAAAGTTAAAATAGTGCATTGTATAATCAAAGAAGAAAATAACATGCTGAGGTAGGAAGAATGGTCTCTACCCTCTGCTTCCTTTGTGACTCCTTTTACCTGCAAGACCTTAAATTCCTGAGATATACTACTCTGGCTTAACATGCAATCAGAAATTATAGCAATCATACTAGGATGTTGATAAAAGGAGGCTGTGGAAAGCTCAAATGTAAAAGCTATTAATATATTTTTCCATAAAATAGAAAGTGCAATCTGAAGCATGTGTCTATTACGCTAGTTTAAATCAAACTAAGTACACACAATTTCTTTGCTTTTCTGTAATATTAATACCCGATTTTAAGTTGTTGCAGGCACAGCTTACAGAAAAAGCAACTGAAAACAGATCACCCATGTGTTTTTAGGGTAACAATCAGAAATACGAAATGCGATGACATATCCTCTTGCCATGGAACTCCCATGGGGACAGAAGTTTTGGTCGACCTCTTTGGCTGACTTACTCTGAAGGACTTTGCAAACAGATGACCTTTCTAAGCTAGTCCACCAAGCTCTCCTCCCAGCATTCTTGGAAGAATAATAATAGATACTGAGTATTTAAAGTTGTGTTAATCATTGTTTATTATCATATCACAGTCAGGTTTCCAAAGAGGGAGTTCTCCATTCTGGTAAAATTGTACATACAGAAGAGACAGCCCTTACTATGAATTTACAATCAAATTAACACAAAACAAATATAACATGGGAACAGTATAGAAGAGTTTAAAGTAACAGCAATAGAAGGATGTAATTGAACCTGAAGTATGTAGAATTAGCTTTTTTCAAGTTTTCCACATACATATCTGCACTTCTGGTTGAACGAGGAGAGGGAACAAGGATTTCAGTCTCTAAGTCACATTTTAGGTATGCATATTTTTGCATTTTATAGCAAGCCTTGAAATACCTCTAAGTTGTCACTTGGTAACTATCGTTGTCTAAACGTACTTAAGAGTGAGTACCAACATAAAGAGAAGCAAGGCTACGACAGCAATCAGTGCAAATCAGAAAAGTTCCAGGTAAGGATGAAATCTGCCATCCGCTCCAAGCATCTAGACACAATGGGGGCATAAGAAGAAAGTTAAAAGAATCAGGCCTAGGGTATGAAAGCAAACTACTACATGGTACCTGTCACTCTTACTTTGTTTTTCTGTCACAGATTTGATATTCTTTCTGTGAGTTCAGGTAATGTAAATTAGTTTGGGCTCAGTTTTCAGGGTTTCTTTGGGGGCTTTCTGAAGCAGTGCATTATCTGTCTATACTGGAGAGCTAATAGATGGTGAACACACATTCCCAGACTGTTAACTGAATGCTGGTCACAGATTCAAATATTTCTGTTTACATATATGCATCTCAAGGAACAGTGCTGGGAAGAATTCATAAATGAGGCTGAAGTCACAGTTTGACATGTACAGGTAGGGGTTTTGTTTGTTTTTATTATTGTTAAGGGAAAGACAAAAATTAGACTTACTTTCAAATCTAACACTGAATTTGTGACTATAAACATTTTTATCTGTAAGCTAAGCAAATCTGATCTGGTATTCACTGAGAAACAAACATCCAATGCTCTAGTATTTTAAAGAAATATAATAATACTATGAAGAGTATTTTTGAAAACAATAAAAAAAATTGATTATTTGATAAATTACCATTTGAGGATATAATTCTAACAAACTTCAGGTCTAGGTTCTGAATACAACCCACACATTAAACCCACCAATCTCTCCTTTACAAACAGAGAAGTCCCAAATCTTAATTTTCTCTCTCCAAAACTCAGACAAAGCACGTGGTAATAATTAAGAAGGTCAGCCTTGAATTGTTTGAACTGCAGTTTCTCTGTAGCCATGATCATGGATTATGATCCTATGGCTATGTTTTAGCTTCACTACAGTGACAAATTGAAGAGTTTTTATTTATTTTTTCCCCTTATCCAAAGTTCACATTAATGTTTACCCTATATGCTCTTAGATGATGATTATAAAAGATAGTGTGCCAAAAATAATTTTGTCTTCATGGCTCAGATGGTTAATGTAAAACCTGTGAGATTGCATTGCTTTTGTAAAGCACTTTGAAAGTAATTTCAGTGAGTGAAAAATATTTCTAAAACTGCTTTAAATAGGGTGGTCATTATACTAGTCATTAAAGGCCACCACTCAAACTTCACAGAAACTGCTTACAAGCTGTTGGGAAAAGATGGTTCAATCACACTGACAAATTCATTACTAGCCTTTGTGCATTCTGCATTACTTTCTGCAGAAAACACTCTGATTAAAGGGAACCTCTCTCACTTCACTTTCAAAAGATACCCTACTGAGATGAGGACTATGAAAAATACACTGACCCTCAGATTGCAAAATATTTCAGAGACAGCTGCAAAGGCCATTTCAAGAGATATGAAAAGAAACTCTATTACAAATGGACAGTCAAATAGCCAAAGCATTAACCACTGCTAACCAGACACCGTTCGCCACTTCTCAGCAAAAGCCAAGACAGCTGAACTCTTGAGGAAGCAGTGACGAGGCAGCACTGTGGCAGTCTGGCTCCATGCCGGACTAATAATCATCTTCCAAGACCTGGAAAGGTAAGTGCCACTTACTCTTTGACATCTCTTCTAAGCAGTGCTGCACTAGTGAATTCAACAGAGCACGACGCT